AAAAGAAGATGCGAAGATATCTGGGATTGTGAGGGCAAGTGCCCAGATAATTTCCCAAATCCAGTTTGCTTCCCAAGAGATAACAGAAGAACATGTTTATGTGAGTTTCTTGAATTTTTATATTTATTTGCACTAAAAGAATTTGATCAAAAATATATTGCCAAGTAAAAATAGCCCTTCCTGGTATTCATGATAAAAATTAAAATATCATCAGAATTAGAACAGAACAACTATTAAAAGTTGCTCTCTAATAATTCAAGAAGCAAGTGGTACTTTGCTTCAAGGCATGAATTTCCCAATGTGTACTCGTATAATAGTAGACTTAATCAATATAAGAATGGTGATTTAGCATCCCTAATTAGTAGTAGATATTTAATTTTTATTAATTTTTTTTATTAAATTAAATTTTTTAAATTGCAGGTTACGAGGCACATGTTAAAGGATGAGCTCCAAGGTCCAAAATGAAGACCCTTAATAATTATTATTACACTTTAACATTATATTGTTAAAACTAATTTTGAAAAATTTTCTACTTTTGTTATTGGCAGTTAGTGATTGTTCAATAATTTGTTGATGAATAAAAATTTGATGCATAATTAGTATTTTATGAACTTGTAGTGATTAATGAACATGGGTCAGCACAAACTAGTCTCGGAATTGTTCTCAACCTCGGATAGGTCGATGTCAAGCAGTATGATTACAAATTTCCTCTTTATATTATAGATCTCAAATAAAATCTAGTGAAAATTTGCCTTTCGTGGCCATTGCAATACATACACGTCAACACTATTAGATATAAGTGAAAATTTAATATATAGTCGACACTTAAAGTGAGTGGTTGACCACTGGGTTGCACTCTAAAAAAAAAGCTAGATTAGAATGTATGATAGCAACCATAGCTCTTAGAACGCGCAATTCCAATCAATGTTAAAAAAAAGATTAATAAAAAAATTTAAACTAGTAGTGCATGGCATTTTGAACTATATAAGAAAAACTTCGGACATTTTTGAAAATTTTATTGAAGCCCAATATTCACTTTCAATATAATTTTTTTTTAACTTCGCGTAGGGTAAGTTATTGTAATCGTCCAAAAATCGAAATTGAAATTTTTTACTTTTCTTTACGCTTTGAAGGTTTCTGAATATTTTGGCATACCTCAGAAAAAATGGATGTATGTGTGTGTGTGTGTATGTATATGTACGGATACAGTTTTTCGTCCACGTTTACGGGCGCACGGATCAACCGTTTTCAATAGTTGAAAAAACATTCGATTTCTATTGATAGGGAGATGTGCTGATTTTTGGCAAAGGCAGGTTCAGCCGTTTAGGAGATACAGAGCTAAATGTGCAAAAAATGGCAGTTTTTTGCGTCCGATTTGAATGATTCAAAGAACTTTCTGCTTGTTTTAACAAAATAATTGCTTTTGGAAAAAAAAATTGTTCCAATTTTTGATATTTTGGATTTGTCTATCGAAAATAATTCAGATTTTAATTGTAATTCTGACTTAAGTTTTAATATACTTTAAACAAATATTTTCAACTTTGCAATTCAGTTTATATAATTCTTATAAATATTAGATAATATTACGATATTTATAATAATCTATTTTAAATATTTAATATTTCTCAAACATTTCGTTACGGTACGGGAAGTTCCAGCAATTTGTCTTAAGGCACGATGCCATACACACAACAAAAACTAATCATTTCTTCAATACAAGAAAAATGTTTTTGAATCATTCATTCCGTTTTCACAAAGACTCTTACATTTTGTTCAGTATTTCCAAAACGGATAGACCCGCCTTTGCCAAAAACTAATCAGCATGTTGTCGCATCAATACGAATCGAATGTTTTTTTGAATAATTCAAATCAGTTGATCCGCGCTTTCTAAATTGTGGACGAAAATTTGTATCCAAACATACATATACACAAATACATATATTATTTAATATTTTCAGTAGATCATGAAACGTAAACATATGCAAAAAGTTTCATTTTCAATTTTTTTGAGATTACTATAAATTACTCTAGGGAAACTTGGAAAAAAGTAACTATATTTGCATGAGAACGAAACAATTTTTTTAAGGAGGAAAATCCTCAACTGAATATTAATTTTATGGTAAAACATATTACTTACAAGTTCCACTTTAATTTCTTACTCTTCTTTTAATCAAAATATATTGAATGTGAAAAATTCCATAAAAACTATCAAAAAATCTTCATACTGTTTCCAGTATTCCAGAAATAAAAATGAAAAAAAAAACTAAATTTACGCAATTGAGTTTCGAAAGACAATCTTCTGAAACAATTTTCTACAAATTTCGTAAAATGTTAAATAAAAAATCAATGAAATATATTTGTTTGTTTGCATACGACAAACAATATTAATCAATTTTTATTTAGATTTCGGAGTATATAAATAGAAATTTAATTACGAATCATAGTCACAAATAAAATTAAAAAACAAGAGGACTAATAATTTTAATATGGCAAAATTTTTGTGCGTTGGAATACTTCTTTTGGGCATTGCTCTGCAAGTTCAATCTATGGCTTTGGACCCAAATCAGGAAAATACAGATAATAGTGAGTATAATATTTAAAAAATATAATTAAATACGAATTTTTTGATTTACCTAATCCCGCAACTTCGTGAGACAACTGGCCCATCTTTTGATTCATACACTGTTGCCAGATTTATAGAATTCTTGAAGAGATGATGGAACGTATGACCCTAAACTTGTCACAAGTCGAATCAAAAATTTTAGTAGAATAATTTGATTGAATAAATATTTTTGAAATTATCAAAATTTTTATTGGCAAATTATGTTTATCAGATGCTGTTGGAAGGGCCAAGAGAGAAGAAATAAAGTACTGGAATACAAATAGAAGGTGCGATGATGTCTGGGATTGTGAAGGCAAATGTCCAAATGATTACCCAAGACCAGTTTGTTTCCCAAGAGACAACAGAAGGATATGTTTGTGTAAGTTAATTAAAATAATTATTACATTTTTTTCAGGTAAAGCATTTGCACTTGAAAATACATAAATCAGAAATATATTCCCAAGCATAAATATACACGTATTTATACTTGCCTTGAGGCAAAAATAATTTTAACAGAAGATAACTCTATGGTTTGCCCTTTATAATAATGGGGATAATAGTTTAATTTTCTGTTTTCTATTATTACATACATTCTATTCTATTATATATACATATATATATATATATATATATATATATATATATTAGGGTGGTCCTTAAAATGGTCATTTTCGAATTTCCTTGCTCCCAGGGGCTCAAATGGTTCCAAATAGATAAAAAACAATTTTCTGAAAGTTTTAGCTCTTAATATTAACGTTTAGATAGAGCGCAATTCAATCAAAGTTTGTATGGGAAGAGCATGGAAAAAAATTTGAAAATTAAAAAAAAATGCTTTAGGTATAACTTAGCGACAAATGAATGAGTTTTATTCATTTATTTGTTCGCTAAATTACATCTAAAAAACATTTTTTAAATTTTTGAAAATTTTTCCATGCTATTTCCATACAAAACTTTGACTGAATTGCGCTCTATCTAAACGTTAATATTAAGAGCTAAAACTTTCAGAGAATTGTTTTTTATCTATTTGGAACCATTTGAACCCCTGGGAGCAAGGAAATTCGAAAATGACCATTTTAAGGACCACCCTAATATATATATATATATATATATATATATATATATATATTATTAAATTGCAGGTTATGAAGCACACATATATGGAAAATAAATTCCAAAAAATGAAACCGTTGTTGACCTGATATTGTTATTACTTCTTGTTATTATTGTTTAAATTTATCATGAAAACTCTTGTTATTGGCAATTAATTGTTAAAATATTCGTTGTTAAATAAAACTGTTATGCATAATATGTATTTTATAATTTCATATTTTATCATGACCATCGTGGTGTAATGGTTAAAAACGTCAGCTCAATATCAAGCAGTATGATATTGATATATTAAAGGTATCAAATTCAATCTAAAGTGCATTTTCGAGAAAATTACTAGTTAGAAGGTACAATAGAAAATCAGCTCCTATTGTTAGAATTTGTATTGCTGATCGATGTTAAGAAAGTGATTATAAAACTAATTATTAGAAAGAATTCTACGAAAAATATTAAATTTTAATACTGCTCAGATAAAAATTTAATATCCTACTAACATGAAATAATAACAGTAGCGCGATCACCTGATACATATTTCTTTTTTTTTCAATAAAATTAATCCTAATCACGAAGGTTTGAAAATGTATTGATTTTATATATATAATTATTTCAACTTTGTTATAAAATTTCCATAGATTTATAAACATTCTTCAAATGTTTATAATTTCATTGATAGTACATAATAAATAAGAATTTTGTTTAAATAACATATATACCAATTAATATGATTCTAAATAAATCGTAAATAACGTTTATTATATATTTTAGACATAAAATTTTAATATGCAAACTAATAAATTAAATTTCTCTCTAATAAAAAGATCTCACTATTACTCCAAAAAATTTTGACATATTAAAATTATTAGTCCTCTATTGTTTTTTAATTTTATTTTGTGACTATAAATCGTAATTAAAAATCTATTCATATACTACAAAATTTAAATAGAAATTGATTAATATTGTTTGTCGTACGCAAACAAACAAAAATATTTCATCGATTTTTTATTTAACATTTTACGAAATTTGTAGAAAATTGTTTCAGAAGTTTGGATTTCGAAACTTATTTGCGTAAATTCAGATTATTTTTTATTTCATTTTCGTTTCTGAATTACTAGCTAAAATGAATATTAAACTTGTTTTAAAAGATTTCGTAGTTTTAACGTCATTTTTTCTTAATCTTACATTTTTACTTGTTGACCATTTATTTCAGAACACTTGTACGAATTACAATATAATATAATAGAAATAAAAATCTGTTAGTTATATATGTATATTTAATTTTTTTTCATTTAAATTATCTACTATCATTCATTATTCTTCCACATACCACTTTCATGTTTTTGATGCTGGGCAAAATTCTTTTGCCACTTTGGGCCTCCTTCTTGATAAACAACTCATTAAGGATTCCTCCGACGACATCCTTGGCAGCTCCCATAAGTTTATCACCGGCATAACCCATCAACTTTTGTCCGGCACCTCGAAGCAAACCTAAAATTGTCAAAAAAAAATCAGAAAAGGAAATATAAATTTGATAAATTATAAAAATTAGTCATATAAGAGTTTGGTCGTTGAAAAGTTTGGTCATTGAAGAGTTCAGTCGTTGAAGAGCTTGGTCGTTGAAGAGCTTGGTCGTTGAAGAGCTTGGTCGTTGAAGAGTTTGGTCGTTGAAAAGCTTGGGTCGTTGCAAAGCTTGGGTCGTTGCAAAGCTTGGGTCGTTGCAAAGTTTGGGTCGTTGCAAAGCTTGGGTCGTTGCAAAGCTTGGGTCGTTGCAAAGCTTGGGTCGTTGCAAAGCTTGGGTCGTTGAAAAGCTTGGGTCATGCAAAGCTTGGGTCATTGCAAAGTTTGGGTCATTGAAAAGTTTGGGTCATTGCAAAGTTTGGGTCATTGAAAAATTCGAGGAATTGGTCATTCGAGGAATTGGTCATTCGAGAAATTGGTCATTCGAAAAATTGGTCATTCGAGAAATTGGTCACTCGATGAATTGGTCACTCGATGAATTGGTCACTCGATGAATTGGTCACTCGATGAATTGGTCACTCGATGAATTGGTCACTCGATGAATTGGTCACTCGATGAATTGGTCACTCGATGAATTGGTCATTCGAGGAATGGTCATTCGAGGAAATGGTCATTCAAGGAAATGGTCGTTCAAGGAATTGGTCATTTGAGGAATTGGTCATTCGAGGAATTGGTCATTCGAGGAATTGGTCATCGAGGAGTTGGTCATCGAGGAGTTGGTCATCGAGGAGTTGGTCATTCAAAGAATTGATCATTCGAGGAATTGGTCATTCGAGAAATTGGTCATTCGAGAAATTGGTCATTCGAGAAATTTGTCATTCAAGGAATTGGTCATTCGAGAAAATGGTCATTCGAGGAATTAGTCATTCAAGGAATTGATGCTCGGTTGTCCAATGAGATAGTTGGTCGTCCAAGGAGATGGTTGGTTGGTTGGTCGTCGAAGAAATTGCTCGGTCGTCCAAGAAGTTAGTCGACCAAACAATTGGTTGTTCAAAGATCTGGCCGTTCAAAAATTCATTTACGGATTTGGTCATTTGAATATTTAAAAATGAGATCATTTGAAGATTTGTCCAGCTAAAGATTTGATCATATTTGTACAATTAACAAAAAATAATTTCAATATAGTACTGTTATAAAATCAGTAACTTTTTTTCAGAAAAAAATTTAAACTTATATTCCAACTTAATATTCCACTTTGAATTTTAATGAGCTTATGCCAAATGCAGATTTGAAAGCTGTTCTCATACTTTTGTAATTTTTTAAATAATAATATGCAAAATACTTCACCAAAATTAAAAATCTTTGTCAGAAAAAAGTATGACGAATAAATTCTCTTCCATTAATTACACTTCATCAAGTATGTCTTGATTTTTATTTAACAATATTAAATATAAATTACTCAAAGAAGTACGATGTGTAATTTTCAACACTTAAGTATGCCTTGACTATAATTTAGTGATATTAATTTTTATTGTTACTAAAATAATTGTAAATTATCTCACCTTCGAAGTTGCCGGCTCCTCCACCATTCTGGTCAAATCCAAAACCCGCCATTTCAGGGGTTTTTGCACAATTTTTTACACAATCACCAACATATGTCCATTATTATATAATAAAGTCACTATTCACTTACACATAACACTGGAAATTTAAAATTTACACTTTTAAAAAAATATTTAATAAAAAATTTTCAATGTATTAGGACATAGTTATAAAATATTATTTATTTGTAGAACCCATAAAAAACAATTATGTATGAAAAATATTTAATAAGAGATTGAGGGAGAATAATTAAGTTTATTTATAAAACTGATACTATTGTTGACGATAATATAAATCAATATTTACCAACAAAATTACTTAATGTTTTTTTTAGTAAAGACATATAAAATTTAGTCCTTCATAAAACATAGTATTTTATTTGATATGTAGGTATCTATTTCCCTGACTAATTTTCATAAGAGCTTCCAACTTAATTAGAAGGTGAATTTTCCTTCGCAGCTATTAATTACTTTTCTGGTTAATTATTACATTTAACTAATTATTTCCATATGTATTTCTATTAGGTTTTGTCATTTGAATGAGGTCAACAACAGACGGAGCTAAACTTTGTCATTTATTGTTGAGTTTGCCTTGAAAATCAGCATGAAACACATTTACTATATGAGATGGATAGCTGATGGTAATAATAAATCTAATATTAATAGAAAAATAAAAAATATAGATAAGTTTTACTCCATTTTAGAAACGTTTTAGTGAAAACAAGGTACTAAACACCGTCGTGGACGTGAATGATAGAGCATTCATTTTTATTGTGACGCAGGATGATATGAATGCTACAGCATTCAAAGTTTGAATTCAACTATTTGGAATTTATTTTTATATAACCTTACGTTTTTTTTAAATTATTTAAACTGTCAAGGTGACTGATTCTTTAGATTTACGTATTATCTAGAATTTTCCTGCAGACAGTAATTAGCTTGGTCAAGAACATTGCGTGATACAGAAGCATAACACTTGACGTGGATGCTATAGCATTCATCGTGTATATCGATTAAAACATGATAATCTGACCAGCCTAAAGGGTGTTTAATCAAAATTGAGATATCACAACCAATTTAAAAATAGAATGACTCAATTTTTGTACTTTCCGGAAACTTCTAAGATAATCTATAGCATTTTTAATATAATATTTTTATATTATATATATATATATATATATATATGATTCTTTGCGACTTGGTAGAATCAGAAGTGCCAATTACCTTACACTTTTTTTCAACATTCTTAAAACAAGACACTTTTATCGAATTTGTTTGAGAAATTGAAATAGGTGAATCTCGCTTACATTTTATGACTCATATAGTTCTACATTCTACAGATGTTAATATGTTTTTATTTCGTTTGTTTCAAATTCCAAATATTTTTCTAAATAGTTCTCCAAATATTTGAAAAAAATTCAAATAAATTAGAAGTTCTCAAGTCAATTCCACAATTCTCATATATTTAAATTTTTATTTAACTAATTATAAAAACGTAATAAATTCAACTGATGAATTTATACTATTTCATAAATATGTTGAGATTATAGCTTTAGTATATTTTTATATTTAGAATGTTAATTTTATTTAGCAAATTTTTTTTTCTACCAGGTCTCTTATTAATATAAACGATGACGCCATGAGGTAGGCGTGTGAAGCAATAATTCTACATTCTTGGAAAAACGATATAAAATTGAAAAAAAAAACATATCCTAAGACAATCACTTATGTAGAAACTTATAATTTGAAGATGGGAATAAATTATATCAATTTAATTCATAATAGATGATTGAAAATAAAGACCTTTGCTGATTTATTGATTGCCTGTGCATTCTTATTGACTTAGTCACTTTTCATTCATGTTGTACTCATTTCTAATTATAATATATGAGGTGGATTCATTCATAAAATTATAAAAAACTAGCAATTATAAAATATATAAGATATGTAGGCTATGAGAAAAGTATTTCCCACAACCTAGTGTTTCTAGATGGCAACCCAGTGGTTGACTGTTGGCTTGCTGATGAGATTTTTTTCTAATTGTGATGTGAATGTGATATCACTACTATTTGATATCAAACTAAAATAGGCATATTGTAATCCATAAAAATGGAAGAAACTAGGTGTAATTCGCCTTATGCCTAAAGCAAATTGCATGAACTTTTTATAAGAAAAGCACAAACAAATAGTAGAGTATGCTACTTTATAAGAAGTACTAATTTTAAAATCCTTAAGATGGGTTGCAAATAAGAAGTTATGACCATGTAGTGAAAAACGTTCGATTAAAATCTGCTATAAATACAATATTTATAGTTCTACAAAGTAACCGATTTTAACAGTTAACAATCTACTAAGAAATAAAAATAGTTTCGGATACTTTGTCTTCTGTGCCAGAATGTTAAATAGATCAAATGGTCAGATGATACCTACGATTTCATCTTTCCGGTTGGCTAATAAAAACCAGAAATAGAATTCTTTGATCGGACTCCTATCTCATCCTCGCGATACATACATATATACATACATACATATATATATACATACATACATATATATATATATATATATATATATATATATATATATATATAATCATATATGCATATCCAGTAGTGACAATTAACAATTGAAATTATTATTCGAAACTATACTCTCGAGTAGTAATTCGACATCATACTGCTTCATATCGAGCTGACCGAAGTGGGGATCATCCATAAGACTGGTTTGTGTTAGTCCACGTTCTTATTAACCATTACACTTTGATAGGCTTCTGCTAATCTATGCGAAACCTAATATTTGTATATTCAATATTTTGTTCAAATATTTGATCAGTTTTCCGTTGTTTACTCGCGCTCTCATTGTAATAAAATACTGTGTACACATTGTAGAAAAATACTTAGAATTATAATAATTTGAAAAATTTTACAAAGAATAACGAATAGGCTTTTTAAAAAAAATGAGATCAACTTTCTTATCATATTCCTTTAGATTTTTTTTCTAAATTTTTAGGCATTCATATTTATCGCATATTAGGACCTACATTAACGAAAATTAATGTATGTTGTTTGAAGTTGTAATGAGGAAGTTATATTATAAATCCAGTTAGTTCCATGCCTTCTATAAATTATTAATCATGAAATTAAATACAACAATTGAAAGTTCAAAAATTTGGTGTTGGATGATGTATTCACAATTTAAATCTCTTTTTCTGTAGATTGTTTTCAATCAAGTCGGCATTCTTAAAAAAAAATCTTAAATGTTTTTCCAATTTCATTTTCTAAGGGACACACAGATGATTTCACGAGAGTTTGCTAAAGTTTCGTTTACAAAATATCATAACAAATGCAAAATCTAGTTAAAATCATAGCAATTTATATATTTTAAGATTTTGGAGTCCGAGAAAACATAAAATAGATTTACACTAATTACTTTGTCCATGAGTGAACACGTGAGAAAAAAAAACAGAAATACATAAATACAATCGTTAACGACAATACTAGTTTTCAGTTAATAAAATACATAGTATGTATTTTTATTTGTGTTTTCATTGTAACTGTTGCAATTATATTTTAAACGAGTGTGTAACATCATATTTTAGTGTACGCAGCAAATTTGATTTGATGCCAAAAATTGCATCAAAAGATCTTATTAATCAAATCGTCTTCATGGCAAAATGTGTATCAAAGAATATTATTAATCAAATCATTTTCAAAACGATTATACCAAAATTACCAGAATTATTTTCATAATGAAATATCTGATATCTTTCTCTGTCAGGCAATAAATATATAGAATCTCTAAAAGTAATCATATAATAAGCAAAATGCTAATTATATAGTATGTTAACATAATAATGATCAGAAATTACAATCGAAAATGATATATTAAAAAAAAAGTTTAATTTCATTATAAAATTCAGGATAATTTAAATAATTGGTGTAATCAAATCCCAGTTTTTCCTAATTAATTTCAATAGACCATATTGATTATTAGAATTACTAGATATTTATTAGATGCAGAAAATTTCTAGCACGATTGATTGAATATAAATAAATTAAATGCATTAGGCGCCTAGATACACCTTGTTTCTATCTGATCATTTATATAAAAATCTGATAAAGACATATGAAGTTTTGTCCGACATCTTTCATATGAATAAAAATAAGTTTCTATGAAATATTCTCTATTTTTTAAGCAAAATATTTGTAGGTTTAAAATCATTATTACTAAGAATAATAAATTATGCTCAAACGTGTGTAGATAATTAATAAATTGGCCCAACGCCCATTGGAATTCGATGATGATTTGGCAAGGTCGCTAACAAGTGATTTGAAACAACTATGAGTAATTCGTAAATTTAGACGTCATGCATTTGTAATTGAATTGTTTTTGATAAAGCGTAAATAAACAATGAGATTTAGACGAGAGATACGCTTTTAATTAAAGCAGAGAGAATTGATTTAATTAATAGCCTTATAATGCTACTAAATTTACATTTGTTTCGTGTTTCAGGAATAATGCTTCGAGTTTCATGTTTCAAGTTTCACGCCTCAAGTTTCATGATGATCTATAATGCAAGTTTCATGATCCATGATACAAGTTCCATAATCCATAATGGAAGTTGCATGATCCAAGTTCTAAGTTCCATGATCCAAGTTCTGAGTTCCATGATCCAAGTTCTGAGTTTCATAATTCATGTTGCAAATTTCAAGACCCATGTTCTAAGTTTCATGGCTCATGTTCCAAGTATAATGATGAAAATTGATAATCCATTATAAATTTCATGATCCAGGTTCCAAGTTTCATGACCCATGTTTCAAGTTTTATGATCCATGATCCAAGTTCCAAGTTTCATGATTCATGTTGCAAGTTCCATGATCGATGTTGCAAGTTCCATCATCGATGTTGCATGTTACATGATCCATGTACCAAGATTCAAAATTTATGTTCCAAATTTCATGATCCATGTTCTACATTTCATGATCCATGTTCCTATTTTCATGATCCATGTTACAAATTTTATGATCTATTATAAATTTCATGATCCATGTTCCAAATTTCATTATTCAAGTTTTATTCAAGTTCTAAGTTTCATAATTCATGTTCCAAATTACATGATCCAAGTTCTAAATTACATGATTCAAGTTCTAAATTACATGATCCAAGTTCTAAATTACATGATCCAAGCTCTAAATTACATGATCCAAGCTCTAAATTACATGATCCAAGCTCTAAATTACATGATTCAAGTTGCAAATTTCATGATCCAAGTTGCAAATTTCATGATCCAAGTTGCAAATTTCATGATCCAAGTTGCAAATTTTATGATCCATTGTAAATTTCATGATCGAAGTTCCAAATTTTACGGTAGATGTGCCAAGATCTGTGATAGATGTTCCAAGTTTCATGATCAATTTTCCAAATTTTACAATAGATGTTCCAAATTTTGTTATTGATATTCCAAATTTCATGATTATTGTTCCAAAATTTATGAACCATTATAAATTTCATGATCGAGATATTACAAATTTTATGATAGATGTTCCAAGTTTCATAATCCATGTACCAAGATTCATGATTTATGTTCCAAATTTCATGATCCATGTTTTGAATGTTATTATCCCTGTTCCAAATTTTATGATCCATGTTTCAAGTTTCATTGTTGATGCTCCAGTTTCATTATACATGTTCGAAGTTTCATGATCCTTGTAGTGAGTATTTTATGATATACGTTCTAAATTTTATGTTTGTTTCAAGTTTCATGATTGATGTTCCATGTTTCAAATTTCCAAATTTCATTATCCATGTTCCAAATTTTATTTTTCTTGTTCCAAGTTTTATGATTCCTGTTCCAAGTTTTAAGATTCTTGTTCCAAGGGTCATAGTCTATGAACCAAGTTTCATGATTAATGTTCCAAATTTTATGACCCATATCTCATGTTTCATGATTAATGTTTCAAGTTTTATAATTATTGTTCCAAATTTCATTATTCATGGTTCCAGTTTCATTAGTTCCAAATTTTATGATCCATGTTCCAATGTAAGTTTCAAGTTTCAAGTTTCAAGTTTCATTTTTCATATTCATGTTCATAAACATAAGCAAAGATTAAAAAAAAGTATAAATTTTCAAAAATATTATTAAGGCCCATGTGCGAATATTTGTATTGGAGTACATTTTAATTTTCTTATGAAAAAAATAAGATGTAGTCAAAAGTCAGTCAAGTTTATTTATTTCTTTGGAAATGATAATATTTTAAATACGTATTAATTTACAAGATATTAAAAACATAATCCTTTATCGTTAATTTATTAGTCATTATGATAAATATGAGATAAATAATTACTACATTGCAATAAAAGATAGTAACGACGAGCAATTATTGTGAATTTCTAGAAATATTAATGACTAGTATACAAATTAATAAATTATTCTTATCTTGACGGATAAAAGTATTTAAAAAAATCTGTGATAAATAAATTAGCAAAAATATTTGATTTTAACGATGTTATCAAGATAAACAAAACAAATGAAAACGTGATAAGCTTATCTTTACAACAACATGAGTTAGTAAATTAAACAATTTTTTTAATCTGCCCATGAAAATAAGATATAAATTTTAAAAGTGAGTCAGTTTTGGATAAATAAATGGATAAAAAAGGTATCAATATAGATTTTTGAAGAAGACTTTGTATAACTATTATTGAAAAGAAAATTGTTTGAACGAAGTCTTTTACATGTTACAATTTACTAACAAATAACCTCTTGAAAGGCATTATTAAAAAATTGTACTTTTACTAATAGAATTCACTAACGTTCGAACTAATTTGATAACTAAAATACGAATTAAAAACTGTAATATATGAAATTAAACTAGCTGTAAGTGGAATTCTGTCTTAAGGCAATTAAGGCATCATGCCTTAAGGCAAATTGCTGGAACTTCCCGTACCAAAAATTATTTTTTTACAAACGATTAACATTTTTGAAAAAATTTTACTTCGAAAAAATTAGAGAGAAACTATAAATTTGACGAAAAATTACTTTTTTTGAAAAAAAAAAAAATTTTTGAAAACAAAATTTTTTTGAAAAAAGAAATGTTTTTTCATTTTGACATACTTTGGAAATTCTGAACTGTTTTTCAAAGCAATCGTACTGCTTTATCTGCATAGAGACAAAATGTCAAAGCGCGCAACTGCCGCGCCGCTGTCTAACGGATAAGCATTGGTACGGAACTCATAAAAATGTAAAAAAAAATTATACTTATTGTTAAAATCTTTATAAAATATCTTATAATTTGATGAGCATATGTCTAATGATCATTTTTGACCGCCAAATGGCATTTTTTTTTACTTTTATCATTAGATCTCTGCAACCGCTAGACCTGCCTTCATGAAAATTTGATCAATTCTTCATCTTGTCAATACAAGTAAAATGTTTTTTGAATTATTAAAATCGGACGCTCCGTTCTCTTAAAAACTGAGTTACCGTTTTCGGCACTTTTTGCCCCGTATCTTTGGAACGGCTGGACCTGCCTTCGCCAAAAACTAATCAGCACGTCTCCTTATCAATACGAATCGAATGCTTTTTGAATTATTCAAATCGGTTGATCCGTGTTCCCGAAATCGTCGACGAAAATTTGTATCCGCACATACATACACACACGCACATACATACATACATACATACACACACACACACACACACACACACACATACATCCATTTTTTCTAAGGTATGCCAAAATGTCCAGAAACCTCTGAAACGTAAAGATATATAAAAATTTTCATTTTCTTTTTTTTTGCGATTACTATAACTTGCCCTACGGGAAGTTAAAAAAAGATTAAAATACAATGTGAGCAAATTCTAGTAAAAAAATGGATATTGAAAATAAAAATTATGCTTAAAAAATCAAAGAAATAAGATTTTTTTTCTGAAATAAGTGTAATTTCCTTCTTACCGTTTAATTTGCTTGCTTCTTAATAAATAATAAATTATAAATTACTGCTAATTCTAATAGAGTTCATTCAATAGTATAATGTAAGAAATGCAATACCGAAAAACCGGTATACCGTTTATTATTCGGTTTATCGGTAATAGCCTTAATAGGTATTTTCGGTACTAAAACATAAGCACAAGTTGAATATGATTTTACTAAAACATATAAACTTCAAATCTCATGATACCAAAAAACCGGTATACCGTCTAATTTTTTGGCGTTGGTAATACCGGTATTCACTTTTAAAATATCGCTATTGAAACATAAGTCCAAATCGAATATGAGTTTATTGGAACCATATAAAATTTAAATCTCATAATAGCTCAAAGATGTCTGTTAAGGTCGTTCTATTGTATAAACAAGTGTCAAAATATTATATTGACTCAAACTGTAAATCGTTAAATATTAATCTCTTTTCTAAGAATGAATTAAATTTTGTAATTAATCCTTAAAAATTCTTAAAATCATAGAATGATATTATTTTTTAGATAATTTTAGGTTTGTAAGTAATGGGAACGTAAGTATTGTAAATTTTAATTTTCAGACATAGTTCCAAATTTTGAAACTGTATTATAAATACGTATAATTTTTATTCAATAGGTCAAGTAGGTAATATTTAATTATACATAGGGGAAAGTCCCATAACGCCGGACGGCACCTAGTGCCGGACACTCTATTAAACACGTATTATTTAAGCTAGTATAAATCTTTTTATTCACCTAAATATCAATGGAACTAATTCTAGTATATATATATATATATATATATATATATATATATATATATGCATTTACATTTGAGTGGTATGCAAAAATATAAGTAATACTTGATTGTTATCCGTAAAATGGTAAATTTCACTGTTCGAAAATAAAGTTTACACTTCACAAAAACTAGTCAAAACGATTTACGATTTATATCGTCCTATCAAATTTATGATCATTAATAGCAAATCGGATTTTCCAGTAAAAACATAAAATTCTACTTCGGGAAATCAATAACAAGAACTCATTTTCATTAATGGATCATAAACACATATTCATATATAACTCATGTGGTGCATGTAAACATCCAGATCCAAAAATAACTGAAGGCATAAATTTTCGCAATATACAAATTCCAGAGTATCGAAAATGAAATCAGGACGTCTGGCAACAATGCCAGCAATATATATATATATATATATATATATATATATATTACATATAAATTAAAATTTCCATATAACATGCTACATTTGCATCGAAGGTCGAATTATGTGCATAATACCACGTTTGTGGTATAACGGCATGTTTTTACAATGCACTATGTACCCAGATTATTATATACATATCTAATATGTATGATCATAAATTCCTTTGGAAAGAATTTACTTGGATATTAACGACTAGATAAAATTAATCGATTTTCTAGGAACGACATTAGACATTCCTTGCACAATGGTAAAACTAATTGCATATCAGTTGGAAAGGAATTTCCTGCTCTAAGTAATTTGTAGTAAAGATAAATATTATACTTTAACTAAAAGTGTATCTTAAAATTCTAGAATTTCTTCAGAAATAAGACAGCCACATAATTATTATCTAATCCAACAAAATACTCAGGAAATGATTCTAGTCAACGCAACATCAAGGCCGAATGAATAATTTCAAAGTCAATGCTATCTATCTAGGTGGTATGGGCATACCATTTTTTGATGGTATGAGTATGTGAATCTCGACTGGTGTTGATTAAAACCGGTCATATTTATTCTGGGACATTCTAAATACAGATAAGTTTCATATTTCGATATTAATGAATAGCGAAAACGAATCTTAGATCAACTAGAATAACCAACAACTGATCACTGTTTTACCAAAGCTCTAGGATGCAAAAAGGTCATAAATTTCAAACTACATGCAACAAATATTATTCAACTTTTTTCCGTGTTAGTTAAGAATAATACTAACACCAGATTTTGATTTGATGTCGAGTTTTAAGAGTCTACAGGTAAAAAAGAAGGTTGACCTGTGGGTTGAATTTTCGAGAAAAACAGCTTTGTGATACATTGTCTGAGCACTGTTAAAATATAACATTTAGTTAAATTTGATGATTATCTGATGACTGAAATATTATATATTTATTTTGAATCTAGGACGTTTGCCCAAGAACATTATAGGAAGGTTACTTTACAACTAATTCAATTTACCGATTTGAATTGTTAATGTGCATTAGTATTCATATTTCACATAAGGAACATGATGCCCATTCAGAAACACTTATTTCATAATAGTACGTGAGTACAATAAATACATTGAATGAGCCCAGAACAGTTTTAGAACTAGTGGTGCATGGCATCGTGTCTTGAAGCCAATTGCTGGAACTTCCCGTAACAAAAATTATTTTTTTTTAAAAAGATTAACATTTTTGAAAAAAACTTATTTTGAAAAAATTAGATTTTTGAGAAACTATAAATTTTTAAAAAAAAAATTATTTTTTTGGAAAAAAGACTTTTGGAAAAAACAATGTTTTCTTTATTAACTTCCCGTAGGGTAAGTTATAGTAATCGCAAAAAAATCGAAAATAAAAATTTTTATATATGTTTACGTTTCAAAGGTTACTGAATATTTTGGCATACCTTAGAAAAAATGGATGTATGCTTGTGTGTGTGTGTGTGTGTGTGTGTGTGTGTGTGTGTGAGTGTGTGTGTGTGCGTGTGTGTGCGTGCGGATACAAATTTTCGTTGACGATTTCGGGAACACGTTTCAACCGATTTTAATTATTCAAAAATCATTGGATTGCTGTTGATAAGAAGAAGTGTTGATTAGTTTTTAGCATAGGCAGGTCTAGCCTTTTTGAAGATACGGGGCAAAAAGTGCCACAAACGGTAACTCAGTTTTTAAGAGATCGGAGTATCCGATTTGAGTGGTTTAAAAAACATTTTACTTGTATTGACAAAGATGAACAACTGATTAAATTTTCATGAAGGTAGATCTCGCGATTTTGGAGATCTAGTAAAAAAAGTAAAAAAATGCCATTTGGCAGTCAAACATGATTATTAGACATATGCACATCAAATTATCAGATGTTTTATAGAGATTATAGCAATAAGTATAAATTTTGTTTACATTCCTATGGGTTCCGTACCAATGCTTATCCGTTAGACGGCGGCGCGGCGCTTACGCGCTTCGATATTTCGTCTCTATGCAGTTAAAGCAGTACGATTGCTTTGAAAAAAAGTTCAGAATATCCTAAAGTATTTTCGATATACCAAAATAATTTAAAAAAATTGTTTCCAATTTTCTTCTATTTTATTTTATTCAAGCAATTATTTTGTCATAACAAGCCTTACGGGAAGTTAAATGTAATATTGTCGGCAAAAAATATAAAAAAATGATGTTTCATTTATAATTAAACCTTGGTGATTCATTATATTTTGATTCACATGTTTCCACCAATTTCTTCCCAGTATACATATGGTGTGTATACGCTTCCACAAAACTATTAGTTTTCAATTTTATTAATTTCGTGCATATGTTTTAAATCAAATCTGACTTCTTAATACATAATTGTTTGTCTACATTAGAATTAACAGAATGTTGAGCCCATCCAATGTCTCAAATGACCTATTTTATTACACAATCTGGTTCATGGCCGAGTTCGAAATGAGAGCCAAAATCCATTATGATCACGTGAGAAACTGCTATATGATGGCGCCCACTGACTATATTGATCAGGAGAAAATAAGAAAACATACGAAATGGTGTTGAGTTGAATATTTATGAAAATTATACCATATTTTCGATTCATGTAATTGCTGAGTTCAAAACTTATGTTCAATGTACGAAAAAAAATCAACTAGGAGCAACATCAACTTGAGACTTTTTGGACAGAATTCCTATTTACCAGCCTGTTGATGTATAAGACCATTTGAAAATGCAAGTGGGGATTGCAACTATATCAACATACATACAAAAATGGCAAAAAAAAATATTTAAAATTTGTTCATCAGCACCTAAATATATCTCAAACTTGATCCTAAGAAGAAATTTTAACTATCAGAACAATCTTTAAGTTTGTTCTCAGTAAACTTTAATTATAATATTTATTGCTATAATTCCAACAAATATTTTCTCGAACACAATTGCATTTCTGTCCCGTTATAAATTCCTTCTTTCAATTTCTGATGCCTCTACCAATTACTTTTAACAATCAGATAAGAATCGCATCAGATAGATGTTTCTAATAATTTTTATTGCCACTTTAACGAGTCCATTTCAATCGACATTGTTATTAAAATCGCCATTAACAGTTAAAACTGTACAATTAGTAGTAATAAACAGTTGAGCCGTTTTCTATATTATGTAATTCAGAAATAGAGATTCAATGCCAATTCAATAATGAAACACAATAAGGCACACGCCCATTTTCAATGAGATTATCAAAGTCTTATTAATCAATATATATAAATATATATATATATATATATATATATAAATATATTAAAATAATATAAAAATATTATTTTCTTATGTATTATAATGCAGCTCAATATTATGTTAGATTCGCTAAAACTCGAAAACGGCTGAACCGATTTGGCCACTATTTCTACAAATTTTTTTTGTAGAAGCATAATTTAAAATAAAACAATGGCCGGCAGCTCATACGTCAAATGTCAAATGGTTTTGAGAAATTATGTTCAATCAATTTTGATATAGATTTGTTTTAGATAAATATTATTTAATTGTAAGTAAAAGTGAGTAATTTTATTTGTAAATTTATTTACACAAAAATATTATTAAACTGTTTTTGAAATTACACTGAAGATGAGGCATACTATGGTCTCGAAACGTTGTTATGTACAATGTTGTTTGTTTAAAATTATACAGCACTTTGACATAAAAACATTGTAAAAAGTTTATATTATGTATTTTTAAATTGTTAAAATATAGTTTTTAGATTTACACAATGTTTATAAGATAGTTTTGAATTTATCATGAGTATAGGTTCATAATTTGAAGAATGAATTTTTGGAAAAAAAAGCTTTTTTCCGAAAAACTAACCAAAAATTTCAAAAACATTATTTAGGAACTAATGAGCACATGGGTGAAATATATCTTGGGATCAAAATCCGTTTATATTTTTGAAAAATTATTGTTTCCGCGAGCTCATTTCTTACCAAATAATGCTTTTGAAATTCTTGGTTAGTTTTCCGGAAAATGCTATTTTGCAAAATAAAATGATTCAAACAAATTATAAATTTTCACATGATATATTCAAAACCATTTCATAAACAATGTACAAATCTAAAAACTATCTTTTTACAATTTACAAATACAAATTTATACTACTTTTAACTTCACGTAGAATAAGTTATTGTAAAGGCAGGTCCAGCCGATTCGGAGATAAAGAGCAAAGAGTGCAGAAAATAGAAATCGAGTTATTTAGGAGCATCCGATTTGAATGATTCAAAAAACATTCAATTCGTAATATTAGGGAGAAGTTGTGATTAGTATTTGGCAAAGGCAGGTCCAGCCGTTTCGGAGATACCAAGCTAAATGTACAAAAATAGCAGTTTTTCAGAGAACTAAGCATGCAATTTGAATGATCCAAAAAACATTCAATTCGTATTGACGGGGAGAAGTGGTGATTGGTTTTTTGGCAAAGGCACGTCCAGGCGTTTTGGAGATCCCGAGCTAAATGTACATAAAGTGGCAGTTTTTGAGAGAACTGAGCATCCAATTTGAACGATTCAAAAATTTTTTTATTTCTTTTTTTAATTTTCAAAAAATACTTTTTACTAAATAACTAGTACTAAATTTCATTCTTTCATTATGGAACAGGTAGTTCCGGCAATTTGCCTTAAGACGCGATGCCATACACTACCAGTTAGAGTTTTTTTTGTCATTTTATTGAAAAACTAACCAAAAATTTCAAAAAAATTCTTTAGTATATAATGAACACGTGGGTGAAATATATAGTGGAATAAAAATCTGTTTATTTTTGAAACTTATTTTTTACCTAGAGTTGTTTTACCTATCTATATCAGGACAGGTGTAAAAAAAATACTCTATAAGAATTTTCTGACCAGACCTCTATTTTTTAGCATTTAAAAGCAATTTTAGTTTAATTTGTAGGAAATATTAATAATAAATGATAATTCATCATGCATTGGATAAGGAATTTACTTGTACCTTTATATATGAAATTGACACAAAATCAATTCAAAGTAATTTTGAAGTAAAAAATTTTTATATAGCAGTTTCAAGCAGTGTATGAAATCAACAGTAAATATGTATCAATAAAAAAATGTACGAGTTTTATTTATATATAAATTAAAAACGTGTCATAAACAATTTTATTTTATAACACCCTGTGCAAATATTTTGCTTAAAGTCCACCTGATCATATGACATAAAATGTCAAACCTAACCTCAGTTTTAAATAAACAAAAAAGGAATGACATTCTTTATGGGCCAAATAAATAACACGCAAAATCTAAATATATAAAAACATATGTATGAAATATCTAAATCATCCATTAACATTTTCGGAGGACAAACCCATTTCAATGACATCATACCTATAAACCATGTGTATATCCGCAGCACCGTAAAAACCACTAACAAACTTTAAATAACCACACATCAAGTCTTAAAACAATATGCAACCACCTTACAATATATTTTTTTATAAACACTGCACAATTTAATCACAAATTCAATGTGAAAATGTTCTTAAAATTATAATTCCTGGCACGACTTTTGACAGCTCGACTCGCCGCCATTTGTTGCACAATGACGGAGACGCTCTC